CACAACACATCATCAAATCAAGCTTTAGGTTTCCAAAAATTCAATCACAATTAAACCATGTAAATAGGATGGAAACATACTCACAACAAAGGCTAGAAGCTACCCCAAGACTCCTCCAAGCAATAGAAGCTCAAAAAGCTCCATGAACATCCGTTTTTCTCCAAAATTTCGTGACTGTAAATGGAAAATATCTCACCAAATAGAGGGTTTCAAGGTGAATGGATACTAACAATGTGTTTGGAAGGTTGTTTCCAACAAATTTCAACACAAAAATCACTTGATTCGGTTGAGAAATGAAGGATTTATCAAGGAATGAAGATTTGAACTTAAAATGTCTAAAAGGGGAGGGGGGTCACGGTTTTGGCAAGAAAAAGGGAAGGGAAAGTGATGGTGAATAGTGGTAGGGTGATGTGGCTTAAGTGGTTTAAGTGGGGTGGGTCCCACCGCCACCTCACGCGATTCAAACTCATTTGAATTCCCCTCCGATTCCACTAAACGTCCATAAATTCAAAAACTATTTAGAAACTCTAATTTTTAACATTAACCATTCTCCCTTAATTATACTTGATCAGATGAATCCAGAGTTTTCCGGTCATTCGGAGAAAACACTGTTTTAAGCTATTGCGCGCGCCGTTGGCACGCTTCCCCAAACTGACTTAATTCCATTAGATTTTATCAAAAATCATATTTCCTAACTCAATAAACCATTTATAACTAATATTTGAAACCTAGAGCTCAAAACTCAATCGGCACGTTTTACGGTGCAATCGTACCGCGGTATTTTTACCTGCGAAAAACACTATTCACTGATTTTCTGAAACTTGCCTGTCCACTCAATTTTTCGTTCTGAATCCATTTCCAGGGTTATTTTCAACATCTGAGACCTTCTACTCAATTTTTATCTTCCTAGGGTTGCGTGTTGGTTAATTACCGTTTTGTCATTTCTTTGTATTTTGGCCTAATCTTTAGGATTTTCACTGAATCTTCACTTAATTACACACTTAATAGTTTAAACACTAAATTTAAAATTGTGAGGTGTTATAATGTGTCATTGGGATGGGAAGTGGTAATAGAAGTACTTTAATTCACATGTTGTAATAAGAGACAATGGTTGACAATTTGTAACATCCCACGTAATTAGTGAAGATACATAAAATACCATGAGACATTAGAATTACATGAGAAAAGTCGAACTACATGTGGGGTTGCCAATGCTTAAATGATATAGTTGTTCATAGAGGATCTCTATTGTGTAGGAAAATTAGTAGGATTATGATGAAGGGTAACGATTTATCTTTACGCATGAGAGGCCTCATAAAAGAGATAAGAATAATGTGTGGTAACATGTAAGGAAACAAAAATATTTATAAGGTTAGGGAACTTATAAATTTTAGAATTAGTATTTAAATTATAAATTGGGCTAGTCCTTGAACACCATTAGATTAGTATGATCTTTGAGTCCAATTTCACCATGCTTGGCTGAACCCATAGGGCTTGAGAAGAGTCCATAAATTCAGCCCACACACCCCACATTTGGTCACAACCTTATCCTCCTCTAAGAAATCCTACACGGCAATTTTTAATGGATTGTAATCTCCACTTGGCAACCAATTCAGCCTTCCATTCTTTTGTGCCTTGCGTTAATTTTGGGCTGAAAAGAAGGCTGATGCCTTGTCCCTTTAACTAAACCAACTCAGCTTTGTTAACATACAACCAATAAGAGACTTGTGGGCAGATTTGCATGTTGCCTAATTGGGCAGAAAACACATCACACCTTGCCCCTCATGTGCGCCTAGGTAGAAGTGTAAGCATCAGAAAATTCTGACTTCAATCCCTTCATGAAGACTCAAGTCGATCACTTCTCTTCCCCTCCTCACATGCGCCTAAACAAGAGCAAAAGCTGACCTTACTTGCTGCAGCTTCCAACCTAATTCAGACTTTATTTTATGCATCCAATCAGCCCCAGGATGTTAGCTTGCATGTATCACCATTGGGAAAACTTGCCACCACAACTCACCTTTTGAGCGCATAAGGGAGAGACTAAGGTCAATAAGAAATTTTGAACATTAAGCCACTTTAAATCAGCTCTAAACTCCTCACCCTTTTCATCCTTTATGAGCTGAAGTGTAGAAGGCTAGGTTGAGTTTGGGACCCTTGTAACAGAACCAATTGAACCCTTACCACCCCCTCACTTCCCTTAAATCGTGACACCACCATAGAAGGAACACTAAGAGATAACCTCACCTTCCCCTCCTATCCTCTACCTCTAAACCAGAATTTTAATTCCATAACTTTTCCCCTCTTATTCTTGCTAAGAAAACCAAGTTCATCACTAAAGAATTCCACAACCAAGTTATTGTCTTGTGCAACGTTTCCTTTATTCCCCCTACCTTGTGACCGAAAGCTTATGAGCAGTAAGCAAGGGTAGCTCAACGTTACATTCCTTCATTGGTTCAGCCGTGTAGTAGTGTCTAAGGAGGTATTGTATAGCCCCTTCTTATTGTTTTTCTTTTTCAACGGTTATTTGATGAAGATATTCCATTGCATGTGGGTACTAACTTAAGCAATCCTTCTTTCCTTGCTTGTGCGCACGGTCTTCTTCATGAAGATGTGAGTTTGACGTTCGTGGGAATTAGGGAATAGGTGCTGTTCTAGTTTTGGATTTATTGGCGGGGCTTGAGGTAAACACATAGCCGAACTTTCCTTTCCCCTACTGCTGTTCTGGTTTGTTGATTATGTTAAAAAAAAAAAAAAAAAAAAAAAACGTAGTTGGTAAAATTTTATACGAACTAAGTTATGCTTGTGTTAAAATAAAACATGATGTATATGAACCTTTGTTGGAAAAATGCTGCTGTATAATGATTTTATGCCCTCTGTTTCGCTGTAAAACTCACTAGACAGCATGTCATATTAATTTTTAGGAACCGTTACTGTATGTTGGTTTTATTGCTCCCTGCTTTGCGCTGGAAAATGTAGCTAGACAGCCTGCTGTATATTTCTCTTGTTGTGTTGTTAGCGCACCATTAGGGAGAGGAGTAGGAAATTGAATTAAAAACATTTTGGTAGATGTTAAAACCGAACTTAGCTAGGATAAAAGTGATAGGATTTGTCTCTAATTAATAAAAATAGGGCTGCTGTATTTTATTTAATTAAAGTTAGAAAAATTTTGGTAGATGAAGCATGAAAACTGATTCTGCCCTAGTGGAGTTATTAAAAGAATTACTCACGGTTGAAAATGTATAAAGGTTGAATTAGAATCAAAAATGAATTTATTGAAAAAGAACCTTGGGGTCGAATGCTATAGGAATTATTAAGTTTGGGAATTTGATGAATAAATTGAATGTACACTGATTGATTATAATGTAAACTAGGTACGAAAAATCCTTGAGAAGTTGGACTATATCACTGCTTGTTGGTAACTTAAATTTCGACGTACGAGGTATGTGTAGGCGGTATTACCTAATGTGACTATTGGCTAGTGTATAGAATTGTGATGTGTTGCTCACATTTGTTCTATGTATGTTATGATGATGATGAGCCAATGGTAAGAATATGAAAGAATGATATGATATATGCATGCATTTTACATCATAATACATTTTTCTGTTGGGTGCGATTGCATAACATGGCATGTGTACTTGATTCATGACATCTTGAATATATATATATTTGTATTGAGGGCATTTGACTGAGCATGCATCATATAGGCATGCCTGGTACCAGGAGAGGGGACACTTGGCAATTCAGTCCGCATAGGTTCCACAGTGGGATTCACCTTCATGGGAGCCATTAGGAATACCCACTGTGATGCTACGCGCACGACGGTGCTATGAGCGTAAAGGAAAAAGAGCGTTATATACGCGTTATGATATATGATGAAAAGGATTAAATGTTTGAAGTGACTATTTATGATTTTGTGCCTAGTTAATATTGTTGCATTATGGTTTTGTTGCCACACTACTGGGATTTTCTCTCACCCCTTTGGGGCTGCTATTTTTACAAAATGGCAGGAGGACGTAAAAGCTTTTGAGGATTTGGATATTTGCTGTTGGCTTCTACTGTTTGGGCATGCTGCTATTGATGTGATATTTTATGGATGACTGTATGAAATTGAGAAGCTTGTATTACTGTGAACTATGATTTTATTATTGCATTACGATTTTATGACCAGCAAGTATTTTGGAAACAGATGTTGAAACGTTTGCGAAAAGGATTTTGACATGTTATCTAAATGCTGAATTTTGAAAAGTCTTTGCGAGCACTTTGTAAGTTGTCGTACTGGGGCTACGGACCTCCGATTTTCTTATAATTTATATGCACGTGTAGCCCCAGCTCTCTAGTTTCATTATATATAAACCTTGTAAAGAAATTCTGAAAGCTCAATTTATTATGAATTTTACCAGCCAGGACGTTTTTGATGTTTTCACTGTTTTATCGCTCATTTTGCGAGTTATGTTTCGAGGGGCAAACGAACTCCAAATCACTATTATTTTATATGAACGTGAAGCCCCAGATGTCTAGTTTCCAGATTACAAAGAATATATTTTCGAATCGTTGAACTGGATTTTTTACGAATTTTTAAAGACAGAAAGGGCTATCAGGAAATTTATATTTTTAATAAGTTTAAGAAATTTTGTGTACTCTGATTTTGTAATTAACCAGATCCCCTCTTTAGTTTTAATTGGCAATGTAAAAGCGAAATTTTTTTTCAGTCTCTAAAATACTATTAAAGAACTCTAATTCCGCTTAGCAAACAACTCTCTTGGAGGCCTACAAGAGAGGGTGTTACACAATTGTAGGAAGGCCCATTATGAATAGGGCACTATAAAGACGTTAGTATCGTATGAATGAGATACGTATATTTTGAATGAATCTTCTTTCTACTCTTTCTTCTCTCTTTCTCTCTCATCTTCTTCTCTTCTAACAACCCCTTAATTCTGAAATTCTGTAATTCCACATTACAATTTGGTTCTCTCGTTGCTTACTCATCCTACCCGATCATGGCAGATAACACAAGAATAAGGGATTTAGCACATCGATTGGATGCTTTGGAACAACAAAACCATCGATTAGATCTACTAGAACAACAGTTGCGTTCTGCAGAACTGGTTGCTTTGGAACACAAGAATAAGGGATTTAGCACAGCGATTGGATGCTTTGGAACAACAAAACCATCGATTAGATCTACTAGAACAACAGCTGCGTTCTGCAGAATTGGTTTGGGAGCAGCAACACTTAGGACTCCAAGAGTCTAACGCTCACCTCCAGGAATCACACACACAAATCCAACAGACATTGCAGCGGATACTTGATGCTCAAAACCAATGAGCGTATTCTCACTCAGGAATTTTGGGATCTGGACCAAGTTTTAAATCTTACACCAATAATACAGATCTGGTTACTTTTTGCCCTCTTAAGCTTACTTTTCCACGATTTAATTCTGGTGATCCAACTTCATGGTTTTTTTGGGTGGATAGATATTGCCAATATTATAGAATCAGTGAAAAGGAACGTTTATTAATTGTTGCATTCCATCTAGATGACCTTGCAGCTTGCTGGTTTAGGGGACTGAGTGATGAAGGGTTACTACCCACTTGGGCTGCATTTGTCACTGTGCTACACAGGCGCTTTGGGCCATCTGAATTCGATGAGCCCATAGGTACCCTTGCTAAACTTCAGCAGCAAGGTTCTGTGGCTGAGTATCAATCTGCATTTGAGGCTGCGGTCAGCAAGGTCCCTGGCCTCTCTGCCACTATGAAACGTGGCCTGTTTATTTCAGGACTTAAATCTCGCATTCGCCGTTTGGTTTTACCTCAAAGGCCAGGTGATTGGCATGAAGCGTTGGCTCTAGCTAAAGTTTTTGAAGACCATCTTAGTGATGAAAAATCCATACGCCCTTGGATGGCTAAACCGCCTTTTTCTCCATCCTATAATTCCCAATTTCCTTCATCGTCCCATACAAAACCCTTTCAACCTTTAGCCCTCCCAAACCCCAACTCCACAAAACCCATCCCAGCTATCACCATTCGCCGTTTAAGTCAAGCAGAGATGCAAGTGAAAAGAGATAAGGGTCTATGTTTCAATTGTGATGAGAAATTTGTTTATGCCCACAAATGCAAGGCACGCGCTTCATTATTGTATTTAGAAGGACTTGAGGAGGATGAACCCCCTGATACTGGTGATCCAGTTCCTGAAACAAACGCACACATAGAAGAGATCGAGGAGATTCCCGAAATCAGTTTTAATGCTTTATTTGGCACTTATTCCTCAAAGTCATTCAGGTTATTGGGCATTGTGATGGGCCAGTCGGTCCAAATCCTAATTGACGGTGGCAGCACACATAATTTTATCACTCCTAGAGTAGCTACTCACTTACACCTTACATTGATATCTATTCCACCATTTAATGTGCAGGTGGGGAACGGTGACTCACTTACTTATTCAGCCATGTGTCAATCGGTTCCTTTAGACATTCAAGGTCACCGATTCTCAGTGGACTTATTTGTCTTGGAATTACAAGGGGCTGATATGGTATTTGGTGTCCAATGGCTATCAACTTTGGGACCTATTGTGACTGATTACCAAAAGCTGACAATGGGCTTTGTATTTCAAGGGGTACACGTCGTTCTTCAAGGAGAGCAACAGATTGCAGTAAGCTTGATTACTTCCTCTCAATTGCACAAATTAGTGGCTCAGAAGTCTCTGGAGTCTTGTATTATGTGCTTGTTTGCTATGGCTGCACCACCAACTTCTGCCTCACCGAAACAGAATGACTGTGAGCAGAACCCTGAAGTCCAAACCTTATTGGACCAATACAGAGACGTCTTTGCCGCACCCAATTCCCTACCTCCAGATAGGCCCAATAACCATTGCATACCATTAATTCCTGATGGAAAACCTGTCCAGGTTCGTCCATATAGATACCCGCATTTCCAAAAGAATGAGATAGAGAAACTGGTTGTCAAAATGTTACAAAATGGGGTTATTCGTCCTAGCCAGTCTGCTTTTAGTTCCCCGGTATTACTAGTCAAAAAAAAGGATGGGACATGGCGTTCTTGTGTGGACTATCGGGCTTTAAATGCTGTCACGATGCAGGATAAATTCCCAATTCCTACTATTGATGACTAATAGATGAATTATATGGTGCAACAATGTTTTCAAAACTCGATCTCAGATCTGGTTACCATCAGATCAAGATGCATGGCCCAGATATACATAAAACAACATTTAGGACACACCATGGTCACTATGAATTTTTGGTTATGCCATTTGGGCTGTCCAATGCCCTATCTACATTCCAAGCAACCATGAATCAGGTTTTCTCTTAATTCTTACGCAGATTCGTAGTAATTTATTTTGATGATATTTTGGTGTATAACTCATGTCTCCAGGAACATATTAGTCACTTAAACCAAGTGCTCCACATATTATGGATTCATACACTGTTTGCCAAATTGTCTAAATGTTTGTTTGCTCAACCCTCCATACAATTCTTGGGCCACATTATTTCAGGCAACGGTGTAGCACCGGATCCTAGTAAGTCCAAAGCGATCTTAGAGTGGCCTATTCCAACCTCAGCTACTCCAGTCAGAGCCTTCCAGGGTCTCTCTGGCTACTATCGTCGGTTCATACGCCATTATGCTTGTATTGGCGCCCCAGTGACTGACCTCTTGACAAAGGAAGGTTTTAGCTGGTCCTCAGCTGCTGAAGAAGCATTCACTAAGCTTAAAAAGTCGCTAACAACAGCACCTATTTTGGCTTTGCCAAATTTCAAAGAACCGTTCGTGGTGGAAATAGATGCTTCCGGTATCGGAGTAGGTGCGGTTTTGCTTCAAAATAATCATCCTATTGCTTTCTATAGTAGGAAGTTGGCCCCCACTATGCACACTAAGTCTACGTATATTCGCGAAATGTTCGCTATTACATCCGCAATGGCTAAATGGAGACAGTACCTATTGGGGGTACCCTTTACCATTCGAACAGATCATAAGAGCTTGCACAACCTCATGAATCAAGTTGTTCAAACATCGGAGCAATAGTCCTTTTTGTCAAAGCTCTTGGGCTTCGATTACTCTATCACATACAAATCTGGTAAAACTAACGTTGTGGCAGATGCCTTGTCCAGGCATCCAGAAGGGGCTTTCGACACTACAAAGCCCCATTTGTCTGCTATGAGTGGTCCCATTAGTGATTACAAAGCCCTACTACTACAGGAATTACAATAAGATTCCTACTGTAAGAACATCTTACAAGATTTACAGACTGAACCGGCCAAATGGCCCGAATGGAAAGTAAAAGACGGATTGTTGTTCTTTCGCAGCCGCATCGTTCTCCCCATGAATTCCTCCACCATTCCCCACTTATTACATGATTTGCACACCTCGGTCCAGGGGGGTCACTCTGGTTTCACTGGTACTCAGCAACGCATTGCCACCAACTTTACCTGGAAAGGAATGAGGAAGACCATTCGTGAGTATGTGGCAAACTGTGAAATTTTTCAAAAGATAAAACCCCTCAATCACTCACCCTTCGGACTGTTAGCACCCATCAAACCACCAGAAGAGACTTGGACTGACTTCAGTATGGATTTCATTACTCACCTGCCCCTGTCTCAGGGATCTTTAGCAGTCCTTGTCATTGTGGATCGCTTTTCCAAAGGTGCCCAATTTGTAGCCCTTCCACCACGTTAAACCGCAACAAAGATCGCATAGGTGTTATGGGATTCGGTTGGAAAACTCCATGGCATTCCTCGATCCATCATCTCCGACCGTGATCCTTTATTTTTAAGCAATTTTTGGACCACACTCTTTCGCCTGCAAGGGACCACATTACGGTTCAGTTCAGCTTACCACCCTCAGTTCGATGGCCAAACAGAAAGGGTAAACAGATGTGTGGAACAATTTTTAAGGGCTATTACTTTGATAATCCATCTTCTTGGTCCAGATATTTGGCGTGGGCAGAGTATCATCATAACACGACTTTTAACAGTTCAACCAGCATGACTCCGTACCAGATTACGTTTGGCCGGCCACCTCCCAATCTACTGGTTTACACGCTGGGATCCTCCTCAAACGAGGCCGTGGACAACACCTTAGCCTCTCGAGCTTCCATCCTCGCCACTGTGAAAGAAAATTTGGTGAGAG